CATTCTAGCACAGAAAGGAGCTATTTTACAGTGCCTTGTTGATATATTTAGGAAATCAGACATCTCCTTACTTCTTCTAGTTTTATTTCCTATAATCATCATGATTTTTTATCTTAGTAAAATAAAGTAAAGAAAGCTTATTTCTGTTTTTTATTTATTTGCAGCTGGGCCAATATATTACCAAGAAAAGTCCCCGAATCCTCAATTGCAAGGTGAGTTAATCAAATTGATTTTTTCTTGACAATGTTTCTGTTTTTGGATAATTCAGGATTTTTTGCCTGTTTTTAATTGTTGGCTTTGTTACAAGGAAGTAAAGGTGATTAAGACATGTTGAGAGAAAGTTTTGAAAATATATAACAATTTAACATAATGTTTTTTGCTCTCCTCAAGACAGCATACCTGCTGTATGTCCCTCCTTTCAGCTTCTTAATTCCTCAGGAATCCGGATCTGAAATTAAAATTGCAGTCTGACCCCCAGTTAAGATTCTACGCCATTTTGAATTTTTAATTCACACTTTTTTGGGTCGATAAAATTTTGATAAAATTTTGATTGCAAGGGAACATAGGGAAACTTGTTTGAAAATATTGGTTTGAACATCCCTTTTAATATGTTCATGTAGTTTTAGAGTGAAATGGTTCATAAAGATTTTGAGTGCTTATGTTTGTCAAATGCTGCTCCTACCCCTCAAACTTTCTAATTGGCTATCAGGCTATTTAATGATACTCTTTGACACCATCCCTAACTTATTGCAAGGGAAATGCATGAAGGTTGGTACTTGTGCCAGGGTATGTCGGAATAATTTTTTGGTTTGTCTTTCTACAATTCAATAACCTTTATTTTGTTGTGCATTTTCAGGTTTTGAACCTTTTGATTTGGAAAGCTTTTGGGGTAAAAGGACTTTACAGAAAATAACCGGATCCTCAACATGAAGTTGCAGAACATAGTGGAGATACGCTCGGGTCGATCTTTGAGATAATGGCCAGTGATTTTCATTGGATATGAAAATTTAGAAAATGTCAGCCTGGTGGACAAATTGTTGTGATTTAACTAAAGTATGCTGCTGTCTCATGCTCATTTAATTCAAATAAAATCAAGGTACACAAACACCTAGTCACATTCATACAAGTATTATAAAGTACTCGTATTTCTGTGGTGTACAGCAATCGAGGATTTCAATCTCTATGGGAAAGTGTTTTAACAATTTTGAAATAAACGATAAGAGCAATTATAGTATTATTATTCTGACCAGTGTTTAAAGGCACTCATATATTACGCACTAAATTCTAACTAAAATTCTAACTGTACTAGTTTTCATTTTATGCTGAAATTAATGGTAGAACACCATTTTATTTGTTAAAAAGGGCACTTTTAACAATTTTGCTTTGTTAACAAGGGTGTACCCTCTTGATTACGATAGTGTAGAATTTATTGTGAAATTTTGAGACTAACCCTTTAGAAGGCTTGTGTGAGTTGATCAAAGCATGAGCCTCAATTTGTTAGTGGGTTTGTGTAGATTGTGAATATATTTATAGGAACTCAGGGTGACCAAGTATTTTCACGGATCCATCCTCTTATAGAATCCTGAATAGGATGGCTTCCATTAAATCAGAAAAACAGTGATCTTGTCTTAATTTCCAATGAATTAGTTTCGCATATTGTATTTTTTCAATTCCTGTACTGATTGTATTACAGGAAAGAAAGGAAATTAGTTTTGCACAAGGACTTAAGACTTCCTTTCTCTAATCTGATATGCTTTTACACTTACACTGAGTTAAATCTGCTAATAACTTCCTTTAAAAAAGGTCCCGTTGATATGTAATGTAGATATACATTTAAGTGTAATATTTTAAGTTTAGATGTTCAGTATTGGTAGATTTGAAATCGAGAATTTCTCCATCAAATTTAATCTCCATGCACAGTTTAGGAATTTGAAAAATATGGACACACATCAAATTATGGATGACACTGAGTATTCAGTGTCTTGAAATAAAACCATACTATATGAATGGAATGGCATGTCACCATTTACATTTTATGACGCCTTGTGATGTGTACTAAAATGTTATTATTCCAACGAACAATGTTCGGTAGGGATATAGTGAGGTACTCCATCCGTCTGCTCAGTCCGTCAGTGAATTTTTTTGTTGGGACTTGCTACTCCTTGGATTTGCTGATTTCTATCTGTGGAGTGCAGATTATGATTAGTGTGAATAACTCAAGGCTTTATTTTTAGTCTTAATCATGTGTTGATAAGTATTTTAGTGCTATATGCATTCAGTATTGATTGTGATACAATGTACACATGAAAGGCATATTTTTACAGTGTATAGTTGTCTACTATAATTTATGTACAAATAACTGTCTATAAAATATAATTGTAAATATACAAATATTGATATCTTGTGTCAGTAAAACATGTAAAACACTAAACAGGGTGTTAGACTAAGGGATAGTACAGTGTTGTCAAACAAAGTAAAGGATTGGTATCGATATGATGGACTGAATCCATTAATGTTTTTTTCTTAAACCAATTATTAAAAACATTCTGTAAAAAAACAAGCTCCTTTATGTAATTTTGGCTGATTGACTAAAATTTAATGGGAAGATTATTTATATATTTCATATAACTGTTTTTGTTAACATTTTTTTTGTTTTTTTTGTGCAATTGTTTTTTGTTGGCCCATTCATTTTTACCAATTCTTGAGAATGAAATAAAATATTTTTCCGAAGCTTGTTGGAGCAACAAAGCATTTACAACATTGTCTTAGACCTCTCAATATTAAAGTTGTACAAAGGAAATTTTGGTTGATACTTTTTTAAATCAACCAACGTTTCCTTTGTACAATTACAACATTGAGAGACCTAAACACGTATTGTGTATGTTATTTTGTTCCAATGAGGTTCAGATAGATGTTTCATTTCATTCCGAACGTATGATACCAAGAAAGAAGTGGCTGATATGTTTTCTAAAACAGTATAGAGAAAGGTATAATAGATGACCATTAAATTGACGATGTGTAAAATCTTCAGAATTTTTTGATGACTGGTTTAAGAGAAACGTGTGTTCAAAAAGTTCACCATATCAATACCCATTCTTTCGTTTTAATTTAGCCCCCACCCACCCTTCTCCTGTGAAATCGAATTTCAATTTTTTTTTTTTTAACTCAAGTTTTCAAAAAATCAATATTCCTCACAAATGTAATTGTAATTTACCGAGTTGTCATTTACCCCTCCCCTTACAGAATTAATTAATTTTTTCTACGTCTCAATATCTGAACATCAATCAACCATCATTTATAGGCTAACCCTGTGTTGAAAATTGATATTTCTGCTGCAAGCTAAACAAAAATAAAATATGACAACGTTTATTTAGAAGGTTTCTTCAGTCTATTTAACTACTCATTCTTAGTACCGATTTTACAAGTAATTTTCAGATCATTCTCCCAAAATTCAAGAAGATGTTTAAATCTGCATTTAATCTCCTAAAATAATATTCTTAGACAAAACATTTTGAAATAAGATCTTCATCGGAGGTTCTGCCCAATAGGTCCATGGGATTTTATTTGGGTGTGTAAAAAAGAAACATTTCCTTTTTAAAGGCCCGTGTGCTTGCTTATTTGAACGCGCCAAATAACTCCAAAAATCCTACCTTTTTCCATGGGGCATGTCCCTGGATCCCCCTAATTCTCAGTAAGGGAGGGTTAAGTTTAAGTTTTAAATTCTACACGTGAACGTGTAGAATTAGCCTATGGTCCTCTATGTATAAGTTCTCATATTTGTTATGTTTACTTGTCTGATTGAGTAAAAGTAAACGGAAAATAATTGTTATTAGGTCCCCTGAAAAGTGAATTGAGAGCGGTACAGTAATCCTGGGGGTTGAAATATTACACCCTCGCGTACAGGTTCTCTTAAAAATGTGTAACTTAGTGGAGTGGTAGAGCCCATGATAGGCCTAATGGGCGTTCGCACAGAGCGTTTATTTGAAAGAACTCTGTTTTGGTAAATAAAAAATATGACATTCTTAAATGTTAGATAAACATTTTTATTTCAAGTCATAGCGGTACGTTCGAAACCAATTCGGTAAGCCTCACATATTAGTTATTAACATCTTACGTATAGTGATGTCACCTTTAATTCCTCTTTGTACTTGTACAGTGGGGGCTGAATCATTCCTCAAAAGGTATTATTTCAACGTTTTCACGATGACGGATGTGCAGCTTCGAGTGTGAACACCTGGCTGGAATGAGTCAGCCACAATGCATCGAGTCTTGGGCCTAGGCCTAAATCATTTTCACAAATTGCAAAATATTTTCCACGAAACCATCTGAAAGATACTTAATCACTAAAAGAACATTATTTTCAATGAACATTTTTGCAAGGGTCAATTTCAACTTCAACTGTTGGCAATGCATCAATTTCAATGTAGAGTCAAGTTGTCATCTTAACAACCATTCAACGAATGACCTTGGGTGGGTTGTTGGTTATCTTTGTAATACAGTGCAGTTATATGAAATAAGTTCACAGTGAAGTTACAGAAAGAAAAACAGAGAACCTATGAAGATAATCAGCACTGCTGGAAATATGAGCGGACAGGTGGACATTAAAACTCTGCCGCGAAGATATTGCCATCAAAAATTGTTAATAAATAATACCCCTATACAGGTAGCAAATTCAATATCACATTTTACAATTGAAGACAATCGATATAGTCGGTACAATAAGCCTACACTGGCGGATCCAGAAGCTAACAAGGGGGGTGACTGCAAAAAATGTTGGACCCCTAAAACCAAAATTGGGTCCAAATATTGAAAATTTAAGGCCCATTTTTGATAATTTGCCCCCCCCCCCTTGGATCCGCCAATGCAATTATAGCGGATTAGTATTATTTCACTCATCACATATTATACAACAAAAATCAACAAGTCAATCAGTACACTTCCCGGGGATCTATCAGAGTGCGATAATTTCGTTTAGTGTATTAGCTCTCCACAATTGAAGGTGTTGCTATGATTGTTATTTGGTCGCTGTAAAAAATTCTAATACATTTGTTGTGATATTCATGAATAAAGACTAGGAAAATGTATAAGAACAGTTAATACAAATAATTCACAGAACAATTGAACGCTTTATTACAGCTGTGATGACTGATACCCGTTGTTTTTGAAAATAAAGTGATTCTTGACAACTGCGCATCAATATGAAAATGATAAAATAGTCCGACAATAACAGTACGGGAAAATTTGTGAAAAGTTCACTTTTTCGGAAATATTTACAAACATGAAGTAAAATAGCGTCTATTGCGCTCAAAAAGTGACCGAGGATCAACCAAAAAGATGACAAATACTGTGAGTCTTGGCCAGATGGTCAACCTGGCCCTTGGGACTCCAGAAGTGGGCTCAGTCAACTTCAATGTGTTGCACAGTCTTTTGCATGCTGTGATAAAAAAGTTGGACATTGCAGATGCTAAAGCTGAAATCACTGATTTCGAAAGAGATTTCTTAAAAAGCCAAAAAGCTAAAAATGGAACTAATGCTATCGATGAAGATAGTGCTATCGGAAGTACTATCGGAGAGGACATTGACTCCGCAAGTGCCAAAGGGTCTTTCCCTGGATTTTCAAAAAGTCCCTACCACCAACTGCAAGACAAAGTGTCAACAATCCAAAAAACACTTGATGATTTTAATCAATTGCCAAACACTGAACAATTATTGAAACAGTCCAATGGGAATCAATCTGGTGATCGACAAATGCCGGTCAATGATATGTGGCAAAGTATGCAACTAAAAAAGCGGGTAGATGCAAATGAAGATGGAGTTAGCAAAGTAAGTACACGTACAGCACAACCTTTTCAATACATCAGATATAGTGTTAATTCTAAAAAACAGATTGGTTGTTGATATTACCCGCCTGGCTGATATTTGATGGATGACCCCTGTACAGTCTACATGTACACAAACTCAAACCCCTTTGTACATGTATTATATTGAGTGATATTATAATTACCCAAGTCCTCATTGTCAGATTTTTCCCTACTGTTGTTCCATTTTTACTCAGGGAACTCTGTACACAAACCTTTTGTATAACATAATATAAATACAGTTACTGTATAAAACTTAATATCGAGAATGCAGGCTTGTAGCCAGGTGGGGTCAGTTAGACACCCTCGGACCTAAACTATTTCCAAGACCTTGCAGTTTTTTAGCATTTTGAGCACTTTTCAAGGGATTTTGGGTCTACATTGTCAAATTTTAACCATGGGCTTTGAAGTCCTTTGAATTTTTAAAAACTGAACCCCCTTGGCAAAAGCTGGCTACAGGGCACGAGAATGTAACACTACATGTTTGAGATAATTAACTAGGATCGTATGTCTTCATTGAATAAAGTACCTGATATGCAGTTAGTTGTTCAAGGTATCAGAATACTGTGGTTATCAAATGCCAGTAGTTTGAGTTTAGAGGAAGGATAAATTAAAGCTAAAAACTGAATAGTAATAGTCAAAGACTAGATGCGAGTAGAAATAGTTTTTATGGTTCCTTTATTTAAACAATATTAAATAAAGGAACCATAAAAACTATTTAATATTGTTTAAATAAAGGAACCATAAAAACTATTCCTAGTAGAAATAATCTTGATTTAGGTCATTAAATATTCGGAATTCAGTCAAAGCAATGTCATATTTGAAATCTACATGTAGAGGTACATCTAGAAAAGTGGTTTTGAAAGTTGTTTATCAACTTTTAACATTTAATTCTTTGGGGAAAATGAGATTTCTAGTTCGGGATGATTTCCCATGGGGTGTTATAAAATCACAATAAGTGAAATATCTTTTCTTGTATTTGACAGGACTGGTAATATTTTCTTTTACTGGACATATTCTAATTAGCATAACTAGTATAGACACATTAAAGGGTGATATGAAAATTGAACCTCTAAAACTGTTAATATTTAAGTTAAAGTGAACTTTCTAATTTACCCGCCATACTGACTGACCTGAATGAGCCACCTGATGGTGAAACTGGTGACTACCTACTAGCATCTGAGTTATTAGCTACAAGCCATGGTATTCTACAAATGAGTTTACTGCTTTGATGCTATCTAATTGATCTCATATCTACATCTGTAGTATCTCAGAAAATGCTATATTATAGAACTCAAGATATCCTCCATTTCTCAACTACATAGATGCCCTTATATATCATCAACAGATATGTAGAAACTCTAGTGTTAATTTCATGTTATGCTTATTTGCATATAGGATGAGTCTACAATTTGAACAATTGCGCAACTTAGATTACTAGACTAACAAGTCAAAATTACAGACCCTCTTTAAATCTCAGATATCTTACATCAATGTTTATCTTGATTTATGCTCTTAAACCTAGGTCTTTATTCAATAAATTATTCTAAGAATTAGGATTATCTGTGATCGATGTATTGACTTGTCAATGTTCAAATACTACAGTGATTGTTAAGCTGGACTTAAGTGTGACCATGTATTGAGTTATCTGGGAATCTCCAGCTCCTTTATGAATTTGACCATATCATTTACCCAGCCATTCTCGCCAATTTCAGAATTTACACATTTTATGGCGACATTCAGTTCGTTGGCAATAGCGATAATTTTTTTTTCCAAACTGAAGTCCATTGCCGGTAATAGTGATTGTCATTGGAATGGCACGTGTGAATTTCAAACCCTTTAATTGATACAATATTTATGGCAGTTCTATCCTAGTTTTAACTTCATAGATATTTATTTCCTTATACTTTTCTGCATTGTTCATACCTTTAGTGACAACAGCCATAAAATACTAATTAATAAAAATAGTTCTGATTAAATTCATTAGTTAATAGGCATGTAATCAATCAAAATATGAATATAATATTGATTTATAGTTAAAAGATCAAAACATATTCCCAAGCTTTGTCAATCATTAAATGAATATATATGAGAAAACCGATTCTATAGAAATACATTACAGAAATGGTTTATTGATTTTTGATTTCCAAGTTCAAAAGTATTCAATTTAATTTAATTTATTTGTTGACGCTTGACTAGAGTCTACTACTACTGATTTTCACTAGAGGACCAAGTTCAAGATAATATTTATACAGTGAAATGGCTATTTGTTTAACGTGTAAACAATCAACATTACATGGTAACCAATGAATACTTATTGTTTGCTTCTGTTTGATAGCTAGTCGGTCAAGATTTGTTCAAACATTTCAATTCCTAAATATTTGATACTGAAATAAATCAGTTTTGTAGGGCTTGACACCTAGCGACCAAGCTAAAATTAGATACAAAAACCAGACATTTGCACTTTCCTGGAAATATATAAATGTTAGTATTAATGAATAAATACATACTCTCTATAACCTGATTTCCAGCAATAAAAAACAAACACTATAAAACAACAAATGGGATTGTTACCATCTTTAATGTCAAACAATCAATACAATTTTCACTATGTATGAATGCCAAACAATTATAAATTGATTGCTCTCTGTAAATGTCAAACAACCAATATGATCTTCATCATATGTAAATGTCAAACAACCAGCGCACTCGTCACTATATTTAAATATCAAGCAACCAATGAGATTGTCACCATATCTAAATGTCACACAACCAATTGGATTTTCACAATTCATGTGTAAGTCAGATGCCCTTTTGATGCTGAAAAAGTCTTCCACTTAGTGTTCCACTTACAGGTTCATTAACATGGAGTCAATGGGTCGCAGGACTTTTAAAAATCTAGTCTACTCGTGAGGTGATTCACTTACAGAGGTGATTCACTGACTTTGCAGTTTCTACTGTATATATGTCATCCAACCAATGTGATTGCCATCATATTTAAATGTCAAACAACCAATGTGACCATCACCATCTGTAAATGTCAAACAACCTATGCATTTGTTGAAATCTTCAAATGTAATCCAAGTAGAGTGTTATAGTATTCCTAAAATATCAAATATTATCCTACATTTAGTGTGCTAAACGTATATATACGGTGATATTGATATATGCACTCGTTCCCTTTGCTCTCTCGTGCAGATATCAATATCACCTCGTAGATAAAAATTATATTCCTCAAAATCATAGGATATCCTATAAATACATGATGTGTAATGCTCAATTACATCTGAGATGATTCAATATAATAATGCCCACAATTTTGTTTGAATTTATGTTTAATTTTTATTTTATGAATTTCAGCTTATGCAGATGATGGATGATATGATGAAAGAAATGGAAAAATTGAAAGATGAAAATAAAGACCTGAAAAATAGACTAGGAAATGTGAGTATTTTGTAAGAAAACATATGGCATTAATATGCAAATTGTAACTACCTGCCATTTGTTACAGCTAAATAGTGTTACAGATGCCAAATTCTGTTACAGATGCCAAACACCAACCATCCATGAAAATACAACATGTCAACATTTCTGGTGTCGACATACAAACAGATGCCAAAATGTTATTATTTGAAAAGTAAATATACAGTAAAACCTGTCTAATCCAAACGCCATTGGGACAGGCTTAAAGTGCACAGATTAGGAGGTGTTCACATTTTGAGGTTTTTGCAATCGTGAGATTCCAGATTCTGAAGAAATGTGAACACATTCTCAGTACATATTTATAGTTCATTTGATCACATAGCTTAAGTTTTGATATCATAACAATATTTGAGCAATTTTGCATGAAACATGTGAACATTTATGAAAAGTGTTCAGACTAGACGGGTTTATTTTTCAAATATGACTTTTCACTGTTCAAATTGAGAGCCAATGAGAGGTTCACATTTCAATGGGAGATAAAATGAGACTGAAAAAATAGTGTTCAGATTGGGAGGTTCGGATTAGCCAGGTGCTCAGATATACAGGTTCTACTTTATGTAGTGAGTACGTGTCCATTGGTTTGAAACAATCTTGAATCCTGTTTATTCTGTTCAATATGTTTTATACATAAATTGCTTTAGAAACGTTCTAAATACTCTCAATGTATAGGGGATCTATATATGAATAGGTACACAGCTGATAACCATAATATTAATATAATATGATATCATATCAGATGAATTGTGTGCAATTCCTTTCAACTTATAGGAAAAGTGATTTATGGTTATGAACTAGTGTCTTTATTGTCAATTCCACTTAGCGGGTAACAATGTTCATCTTTTCTATATGAAATCATTGCTTTGTGCAACGGAGTCAATTTTTAAACTTCAGAATTAGTAATTGGAGAACGGAAATGATATGGAATATATATCAAATTAATCACGCAAACTAATAACGCTAACAATGAATATATGATTCATGTATATGTCAAAGAATAAAAAATGAAAATTATTGTTTGATATATGGTCTGCAGTCAAGGTGCCTGATTCTGACCTGTACATGTATTAATGGCCATTAATTAAAGCACATATGATATAAAAGTTGCAGGTCCCGCCCTTCATAAATTTGGTATTGGTATGAGACAACCCTAGTACACTGAAGAATTTGATTAAAATTTTGATTAATCTGATTAAAAAAATTGGATGGGGTAGAGAGGGTGTAGATATATAGAAGTAGTACCCAGTGTCATATTTTGTTAAACTTTCAAGAAAAAATCAAAAATCTTAGATTCATGATTTTAATTGGAATGATGGAGAGCAAAGGCAAGGCAATAATATGCATGTCACCACCTGTCATTTGTTACAGATACCATTGTTGCAGACAAAGACAGTTAATGATGCTGACCAATGACGTTGAACATCAACTGACTGACTGACATTCACGAAAAGTTATTGAGACAATAACAATATGTCACCGCTTGGGGTGGTGACATAAATATTGTGAACAAATCTTTGTCCTGTCCCTACATGTTCTATCATATATCTTGTTTTGTTTGCAGTTGAATCTTGACGAATTGGAAGAAAAATTGAATAAAAAACTCAAAGAACTAGAAGATTTAACAGTAAGTGCATTTTATACCACAAGTATTATGTATAAATCTGCCTCACTTAATAGCTTGTAACGTGAATTATCGATGGATTACCACTCACATGCTTATAGCCATTCATCATTAGCTTACAGAGCAAATGTTTTTTATATGCTAATCTTTGTTACTGCTGTATTGTGTTCAGAAAGAAATATATGTGTTTATTTTCTTTCATTGCCATGTGAACACAAATGCATTTTGGCATTTATATGTGACACAGTAGGTATCTTATGACCAACCTATATACCAATTTACAGATTGGTGACCTGAAATGTATCAAGAACTTGTATGAAGCATATCCTTCAAAATATGATTGTTTATGTCTTAATATGCCAAATAATCAAGAATTGAACAGTCTTAAGCAGAAATAACAGAAATAAGCCATGTATTTTCTTAATAATAATATATTATACTTTTAATTTTATGTTTACAGAATCAACTGAATGATAAATTCTCCTTATTTCCCGATCCCAAAGAGTTTGAAAATTATGTCACTTGGCCTGGTCTGGAAGATGCTTTGAAGGGTCTACGTACCGATCTTGCCCCCAAAGATCGTGTTGTCATAGAAATGGCACAACAAACTGAAGTTGTAAAAACAGTAAGTAGAAAACAATAGTAACGTTACAATAGTAATAATCTCATTCTGTCTAGCTGACAATTTAATCAATACAATAAGTATTGAACCATCTGGGTGCTGAAAATCACTTGCACCTGCATCAGTTGAGCTGCATGGTTAAATGTAAATCCATTTGCACTTCGTTCACAATCCATTTGCATTTGGTTCAAAATCCAGTTACACACTTGGTTCAAAATCAATTTGCACCTAACTTATTCATTTTTACCTAACTGAGAATTTGAGGTATCATCTGTAAATTAAGGATTCATTGCGAAGGCTTGGATTTTTTGGAGAAAGATTCATAAATCTGATTAAAATTATAAATTATGATCTAAATGATGAAAACAAACTTGATTAATATGAACAAAATGCTCAACAAAATCATTGCGCATTTCCAAGTTATATGATATGTTCATACAATCACTGTAAGATCCCACCACAAGTTAAATAGAACCAATTAAAGGTTATAATGTAATCCTTATGTATAATTGATGTTCAAGATTGATTAAAATAAATAATCAATGAGTTCAATTTCTTTTCTTTATATTTATTTTATATACTTGATCAATGAGAGCATTCAATACACCTTTAAGTCATGAATTAGTTGTGGACTATCGGTTCGAAAATGAAACATATGCATTTACATTTATTTCACAGTATATCTATTTCATCCACTATTCTTACAGATTATGCAAAGTCAGGTTTTACATACCATGATTTCTCATACTTTTTCACATACACGACTATGCAGATAATAGTTTTGCGGCACATATCGATTTCAATTCTTAAGATTCTAAATAAGTAGATCTCTTGTTTTTATTATTATTTGCACCCTATTGCCTGATGCACACTATAAATCACTACTATACTCATCAATTAAGGGCCAGACTGAGCATCAATGAATAAATAAATGATTCTTATTGGCTTTTCTCAAGGTTGCTCAGAGATAATATCGATAGCGTGCTTATAGGTTCTTACATTGTCAAGTTCAATATGCTCATAAACCTTTTGTTGCTATGACAGCAATTTGTTAGCTTTACTTTTTAGTGTTGATATGGTTACATGAAACTTGATATTTGTTACACAGGAATAAAAAGCAATTAAATATTTTATTTTTTTTATTTTAAAATAATTATAAAATACATGTCTTATCATTGATTTCACTTCCAGGGAAAACTTGGGGGTGTCAAAAAAGTAGGTTAATATTTCCTGACATGTACCAGAGAACCCTAAAATACTTAATATGCATGTAAACATCATTGTATAAGATATATACTTGTACTTGACATTGCCTCTACATGATTATATAAGATATCTAACTGTCTCAAGATCTGCCAGCAGCTTGTAGCTTATTAGCTTATTGAACCTCATACCTGAAGGGTATCTTGTTTCTTTAGCAATCCCTTTACAAGTCTTGTAACAAACCCATAGCCTCTATTAGTACTTGTATATAATATTTCTCAATGGTACATGTACCAGTGTTCCACATCAAGGATAATTTACAGATACCAATCGAATAAGACCAAAAGTAATATACTTATTTCCAATTTAACTAATGCTAAAATCGTATTCATTGTTGACACTCTGTTGATATATCAATGGTCTCTGATTCCACTCCATATGTGTAATAACAATGCTAGGATAAATGTTTCTTGTATTGATATTTATTACATAAATGTGTGAAATAATAGCGCTCTATGATGCAGACCCTCAACTTTGAGTATATCAATTCAGGGGCGTAGCCAGCTTTCAGTCAGGGGGGTGCGATCCCCCAAAAATATGACATAATTATACAAGCAAAAAAAGATTTATCTTGAATTTTACAAAAATTGATGCAACTTCCTTCAAAATTCTTTCTTCACCCATCGCACCCCCCCCCCTGGCTACGCCTGTGTCAATTTGATGAAGCACAAAGAATACGAGAAAGCACAAAGTAAAATATTATGAAATCACTTGGCAATTACTCAGATGCGAGTAGGTAGTTACCAGTTTCGCCACCAGGTGGCTGATTCGGGGGAAATAACATGGCAGGGTATTACAAAATTCCCTTCAACTTGAATATTCATCAGTTTTAGAGGTTCACTTTTCATATTACCATTATGTATGTGATAGTTATACAAATGAAAACATGTCCAGTAAAAGAAAATATTATCTGCCTAACACAAGAAAAGATATTTCACTTTTTGTGGTTTTACAACATGGGGTCTATGGGGAATCTCCCCAATCTAGAAGTCAAATTTTCAAAGAAAATTAAATTTTCAAAGTTGATAAACTCTTTTCAAAACCACATTTTCTTGATTTAGTTTTACATGTAGATTCCAAATATGACATCAGTTTGACTGATAATGACGCAAATCCATACATCAAGTTTTATTTTTAAAGTGGCTAAAATATTAAGATATCGTCCCAAAGCATTATATATTGGAAGGCAGAAATTTGATTGGCCTTTAATTATTGAAAAAATATAATGTGCCCATTTTTGAAAGTCAGTCCTATGTGTAGGTCTATTTTTGAAAACGTCCCAATGTTGGCGTTTGTATAATATTATACTTTGCAATTGGATGCATGGCTCTATATGACATAATAGCTTAGCATACAATAGCTGCATGGCGTCATGACAAGTTACAACTCAGAAAGAATAATATTTATTGATTATCACAAAATAATGTTGTTACAAATTAATACTATTGGCTTAGTATGCCCTTGGGATTGGAAACTGTTAATATTCTTTGCTATATGACATAAAAAGGGATCCATGATCCATATCAGTCTATATTGAGCAATGAGCAAAAGGGTAGCAGATTTAATATTTGTATGTGTGTAAACACATAAAAAACAAAAAATACTAACAAGATAAGAAGGGATATTTACTGTATATTCATGTTCATAATCCCTTCACAAAAAGAAAATACATTTACATACTATTTTTCCAGGTATCTCGTCCAGTGTCAGCTCGACCACTATCTGCACAAAGTGTCGGACCATCAGAAGAACTCGCTAAAATCCTTGAGAAAATTGGCAAACTGACAGATAAACACGACATATTGGAGGAAAGAGTGGATAATATTGAGGTATATTAGTTATAAGTAGGACTTTATATTCGAGATGTGTGTAATGCTGTAGCTTAATGAAACACATGAATACATGTTTAGATCATTGCATTGCAATTGATGTATTAAGTTTGTGGTGCGATCGAATCATTTATTTATTTGTTATTGACACCATTTTCATTTTCAATTGATATGGTGTCTATGACCAAGAGTTAAGCAATTATTAATCATGTTCATTTATCATGTTCCTTTTCTTTCAGGACCAACTGAAAAACAAACTTGACAGAGAAGAGTTAAACGAAGCCATGAAATCCCTAAGTAAGTGAAGTCATAATTAAAATAATGTAAAGAAAAAAATAATGATAAATGATTTAAGTAAACAAATCACTCAATTGATATTCATCTTCCGAATAAAACATTCCCTAAACCATTCTAAAACTCCCTGAACAACTTATTCTTTGGATGACCGACTTCCTTGAAATTCATCCTCTTAACGAGTCATCCCTAAATCGTTCAACTAATTTCCTACACAAGTCATTCCCTGGACAACTCTCTACCTTTAAACCCATCCTGTTAATAAGCCACCCCTTAACAATTCAACTAATTTCCTTCAAAACTCATTCCCTGGACAACTCACTCCCTTGATATTTATCCCCATAACAAGTCACCCCCCTAATAACTCAACTAATTTCCTGAACAACTCATTCCCTTGACAATTGAACTTTCTTGAATTTCATTCCTTTCACAATTCATACTCCAAACAAACTCATTCCCTAGACAACTCATCCTGTATACTGCAGCTATAAATATGTTTCATGAATTATTAGGTCTCCCAGATGACCTGCTGAACCAACTGAAACAATTCAAAGATGAACTTGACAAACTGAACAAAGCAAGAGAAAAGGTGAGTTTTCAAAATTGCCACAGTTGATCTGATGATACAGTGAATATACAGTAAAACCCGTTAACTGGAACACCTCTGTAAAACACCTCCATGGAACACTTTAAAGGTCTGCTGCCCAATAAAATGTAACGCATAAATAAACCTCTGTGAATCTTTGGACACATCCAAAAGGAGCACTGTTTTGAGGGAAGAATAGCCAAAGGTGTTTCACTTAAGGAGGTTTACAGTATCTACTTTTGCATCAAGCTTTTATCCTTCATACTATTCTACTTTCTTTACCTGTATCAAATTTCTTCATTTTTATTGCTTATTTGCACAATAACATATTACAGCATTTTACTTTACTGCTTTTACCTGCTTTGCAATTCCTTAAACTTTCATTTTTTCACTATGAACTCTACAAATACGGACTCCTGGTTGAAAAAATCTCAGTATGACATGGGTTGAATATTTATTTCAAATTTAGATTGTATATGGTGCATTCTAAGCATCTCAAACTATATAATTTGTAAAGGGTTTTTAACAAATTTTACAAAATCGCTTTTTTGTGGGGGTGAGGGGTGCACCATTGTCTTGCTGTATTAAATCCCACACATTGACTTCATAAGGCTTCATGTTTCACTCTTAGTTCTACATGTACATGTACATATAATTAACTTAGTGGCAATAACAAGCAACATTGAGAACATGTGCTGGAAGAATTCACTGTGATCTGTTTGAGATAACTCCTAACCCAATAATACTATATCTTTTCTGCTTTGCTTTATACTGTGCTTATTCTTTCATCAGCTTAACGGCATTGATCAAGCTTTTGCCGATCTTGAAGAACTAAAAGAAACCGTCAAAAATCTTCAAAACCAGCTTCATGAACTACTGAAACATCTAACTAATAATAAGGATGAATCTAATAATCAAGATCAATACTCCACCAAGATCGCTGAACTTGCTGAAAGGTTAGCAGAACTTGAGGACCAGTTTCAACAGATGTCTTTAATGGCAAGTGTCCATGATATTGAACCTGAAAACTGGAGCTTCATGAATGATGACTCTGATGATGCTATGCGGACACCAACTCCTGGAAACAAAAGTAAAACTCCCGATATGCCTTCAAGAGAAGATAGTGCTTTTACCCAAGAAGAAGCCCCATCTTTGGTTTCTCGTCAAGGTGGAAACAATGATGATGAATTCCGACGTCAGTTTGAAAAAATAAATGAACGTCAACAGAAAGTCGAAAACACTTTAAATCGTGAGATTGAGGATCATAAAAATCTCAATACTAAATTCAAGAATTTCGGTCAGGAGACTAATCGACAGATGTCTAAAATGAGACACAAGACAGAACAGCTAGAGAAGGACTTCCAAGAGATTGTCGACCGCTTGAAACAAACCATAGAACTGGCACAGAATTCTGGTGTACAAACTAGTGAAGCGGTCAGTTCTTTGTTTCAGTCCATATTTCAAGGTGGTTATGAATTTGAAGAAATCTTTTGAACATTACCTATGTTTCTTCTTCTTAACTATTTCACCATCCTGATATAATGAAACATCATAATGTAGTCATTTCTAAGCTTTTCCAATCTGTAATTTCTTAAGCTTTCCACCACAATTTTAACATGTCTTTGATTGTGTTCTATTTCTTCTTTACCGATAATATTACTAATGTGTGTTTGTCTACTCAAGGCAAAAAACAATGGAAATTGAGAATAATCACTATAAGACATAATATATGTTCAAGTTCCTCTGACATTTTAAAAACTTGTTACAAAAATATATACTTAAAATGTTCACTCCACAACTGACTTCATCTTACTAGTATGTTGTTATGACAGAAAAATCATAATTCGTCACAATTTAATACTATCCATTCAAACTGTAATCAATCAAATCTTAACTTTCACTTATAGGACAGTGATGCAATATCAAGGGCCCAGGAAGCGATACTCAACCTACAAGCAGAGATAGAGAAATTGAACCAGATCACACAGAACCTAACTGAAGAGAATGATAACAGGAGAAAGGACATACAGAACTTATACAGCACAACGTCACGACTGGATGAGGTCAAGGCAGATAAGGAGTTTGTACAGCAAGAAGTAGAACCAGTGAGTTTATTTTGTTATATAGTTCGCAGATGATCAGTTTTTTTACTCTTAAAGTTTGTGTGTAAGAATAGCTTGTCAATCACCTTAAAATTGATTATCAATGAATAATGTGGAGTGTGTGGAGTATGACTGTACTTTTTAAAGAGTGAACATTTCTTAAACTTTGTTTTTTAATATCCCATCTCACTTTTGCCAGATAAATGAGAAACATGAGAGTGAATAATAAAACAAATATTTCATTCTGACTTTGGGATTACCTTTCATAAATTATATTCCTCTTGCACTCTAGGTTTGAAAAGTTCAGGAATTTCCCGAAAATTAGAACAAATTATTCACAAAATTTCCAAATGATTATTACAATTCATTTCATACCACAAATAATTTAATATACAATAAGAGAACACTGTGTCATTTTATCACCCTCTTAGTGAATAAATTCAACATTTTATGTTTTAGAAAGCAGATAAGAAACATCTAGACAACAAGGTCAACAGGAACACATTTGACAGCACATGTAACGATATTAACAGAATGATCAACGAAATACTCGAGAAATTAAATGGAAACGTAAGTGCATGTAGCAGTTTTTCCATGATCCAGTGAATGAAATTGAGTAAACAATAAATTTTGATATCACAAAAGTCACAGTTGGTATATTTGAGATAAGTTTTTGGCATTCTTTAGGAAAAATGATCTACTACTTTTATCTTTTAATTCCATAACAGAGGTTGAACAGTTTATGATACAGGATACAATCTCAATCTCAAATATTATTCACATGACGATTACATAATCAATGATTCAAAAGTCATAAAATATTTTTATTTAATTTTATTTAGTTTTTTTAATTGTTGTATTTAGGAGGGTTGGAAGGAAGCACTTGGCCAGCTGCAGAATGACTTAGATGGTAAATTAGACAGACTTGAGCTTGATCCACTACGTGAATGGCTTGAAAGTAGACTAAAGGCCCTTGCAGGCAAGATAAAGCAACATTCTACTTGGTCAGATGCTGAGGATGAGGCAGCCGGGTTGAGAAAGTAAGTTTGAATATTAATCATTGTGTAAAAGTATTTTGATATACTATACAGTATGCCCTAAGATAACATTTCTGAATGTTTATCTGTGAAATAAATTAAACACAAATAAAGTCAGATTTTCTGGCAAACAAAATGAAATACAATGACAAAAGTCACAAAGGACGATTCTCGGTTTGGAGAAAAGTCTCCTGGGCTAATAATTATCCCAACGAACGAAGTTCGGTAGGGATATAGTGAAGCCCTCCGTCCGTCCGTCTGTCCGTCCGTCAGTCAGTCCGTCAGTCAGTCCGTCCGTCTGTCCGGAAGATAACTCAAATACTAGTACACAGATTTTCTTCATATTTAGTGGAAAGATGTATATTGGTGAATAGTTTTACGCAAAAAAAAAATTTTCAAGATGGCCGCCGCTTTAAAAATGAGGGGACTTTTTGCAAAAATCATAAATTATTCATTCTGAACCAAAGTAATTAATATTATTGTTTGAAATTTTGGAAGTATATTCACAACATTTATCTATTTCACATATATTCCGTGTTTTTCATCCTGACCCCCAGGGGCCGTGTATGGGGGGGACAGGAAAACAGAAATTTTGGCTAATTTTTAGATCTTTCTAAAGTATAGCTTTATTATACTAAAATGAAAGGCAATTAAGAGTAGGTTGCAAATATTGTATATTTTTTCTGATTCTAGCCTCGTAAAATTCAAAATGGCCGTCTAATGTACGATTTCGCAATAATTTTTTGATCCCTTCAAAGTATGGCTATATTATACTCAAATTGAAGGAATTTTGGAGTAGATCACAATTATGGTATTATTTTTCAGATTTGTATCTCAGAAAATTCAAAATGGCTGCTTTGCAGGAATTCGCAATTCTAAAATCTAATTTTTTCAATTTTAACCAAAGTAATGAGTATAATTGATTGGAATTCGCTAATTGATATTTTGTTCGTTGGGATTTGCTACTCCGCGGAGTTGCCGTTATCTAGTTTTTTATGAAAAATATAGAAATATTACCCAAATTAAACTATGAATATTCAAAAGAGGACATTTAAATCTATAAGATGTAAAAGTAACAAATTGGTCTGAAGCAGGGATAACGTTCAATTAGACCGATTCGATAAAATACAAGTCTCTATTTGGGGGAAAAAGTTCATCAGTGTACTGCGCTAATATTTTTTTGGCGAAAAATCTAGAAATATTACCCAAATTAAATTATGACTATTCAAAAGAAGACATTCAAATCTATATTATGTAAAAAAAATCAAATTTGTCCGAAGCAGGGATAATGCTCATTTAGATTGATGAACTTCGTTCTCCAAACCGAGAATCGTCCTTTGCTATTTCTTTATTCTTAACAGTTCCTTTGAAAAAATAAAATCAATTGAGGAACTGCAGAAAAATCCATTTGAGTTGAATTTAACTCTGTAACTGTATATTAGACTACTATATAACATTTTAGTCTTAGATTATTTTAAAAGTATCCAAGAATTTTTCTTAGATCTGAGTTATGCTTCACATAAATATGAGTTGATATCTGGATAGATCATTTAACTTAACTTTAACGAATTTAACTTAACATATTTAAGAATCATAAAATATGTATTTCAAATGAATTTTAATATTCTTATTTCAGACAATTAGTGCAGAAATTCAACTGCATATCCTGTGATAGAAAAGTTGAGATGATGCCCAACCAGCCAACATCGTCCCTTCCCGCACAAAACGGTCTCCCAGCAACTCGTTCCACGCGACCCTATACAACCTTTGAGCTTGACCAAATAAGGCAGCATGGAAGGAGGTATTTTTCTTTTTTTGATTGGTTGCTATTTGTGCTTTGTTTGTTTAACTCTTGTTTACACTATTATACTTTCGAAGAAGTACATTTATATTGCTTGTTTAGATAGGAAACAAATCTTTATTTTAACAATTAATCTCTATTTATACTTTTAGGAAAATCGACTGTAATACAGGGTGATCATTAAGTTCTGGGAATTGGTCTGCCATTTCAAGATTTTTCAACCATTTGAGTTGAAATTTTCAGCAAGTGTACATTGTATAATTCTGAATTGACAAGCAATGTTTCATAGACATATCACATCTACAATTTATTTTATTGTAATTACAAAAAAAGTAAAAGTGGTTCGCGGGTCAGCAAATTTTGACTGATGTTAATTTGAAAATTTCCTACCAAAACATATTCATCTTGCCTAGATGGTTGCTTCAAACTACTTGTACTGGAGGCAGAACATTACTCTTCAAGTCATTTATTCAGAAGTATTCTTCATTGCTGAGAGGATCATTTCATTTATGATTGTTTCCATTAGCCTGGGTGCACATGCGTTGTTGACAAACTTAGTCCATAAAGATGTGTTCCAGTCCTCCCTTTGTATCCCTTGAAGATTTGCTCAAGCCGTTGAAATCAGTTCCTTATCGGAATCAAACTTATGACCTCTCATATAATGCCTTAGCACCCAAAATGTAGTGAAGCCTAATAGTGCTTCATCTAGTGAATATTGACTGGTGAATATGGGGCAGTAATAACTTGTGTGAACCCTAATTCTTCAAGAGTAGTATGGGGAGCTTGAGTGATGGGAAGGAGCATAGTCATAATGGAAGATAACTCCCTGCTATTTTTGGTCATGATTGTGACTTTGAGATGCTGATGAATGGTACGAAATAGAGCAAAGTACACTCTTATATAACAATAAAGATGTTACTTTAGAAACTAAAGTTAGAAGTATTTGAAAAATAAAAAAAATCACAGAAATATGTCCACCAAATAGGTATTTATTAACCATAGTTTTGGATCAAGCAAAATTTGAATTCATTTTTATTTTACTTGACCCGCTACGCCATTCGTCATGTTGCTATAGTAACAAAAATTATCCATTGTGACATCAGATGACTATGAGACTGTTTTATCCAACCCAAAATTACATTCCCCATTTACCTTGAAAATTTCAAGTAAATTGGTTAAAAAATAATGAAATGACAGATAAATTCCCAGAATTTAGTGATCACCCTGTATGTACTGTAATATGCAACAAACATGCAGCTGGGCAGCCAAACCCAGAAATCAATTGTCGCGGTGATTCGGCATTAACGTGAAAACTACGCGAAAATCGTGCTTTTCTACAGAATATAGTCCCGCCTCGAAAAATCATGTGAAATGACACCTGTGCATAAATTGATATTAAATATTGATAATCGTAATGGTTTTGGCTGATATTTAGGGAAACGTTTGGAGATATCGGGATGTAACTATATTTCACAAATAACAAGCTAAATAAGGTATGGTGGGTGAGAAAGAAGACCTCAAAGAGAAAAGTTTTGAAACTAGGTTTCGATAATTTGGAAAATTGGGGTCGTATACATGTTTTGGGCATTTTTTTCTGAGATTAGTTATTTATGTGATTTTAGTAGAAAAAGCACCCCACTTTACTCGCGGACGTGATTTGAACGTTTTATTGCCCATTCTTATATATTTCTTGAGTTATCAGCCATTAAGTCAGCAGTAATTGATTTTCAGAAAAAAATGTTAATTCTCAGGGATCGATTTTGACATGGTCCCCTGCAGTTGTAAACACTCAATCTCGGATGAAATCCGTAGTTAGCCGATACAAAATAACCAATAGATGATAAAATTGACGTGTAGTCCCCAATCCCCGCATTAAGTTTTTGTTGGGAATTGATTTTTTCACGTCGAAAAAAATATGTGATCAGAAAATCAGCAAGATGACAAAAAAAAAATCTGAGGGAACATTAGTTCAGAATGTTTTGGGCAAATTTTTTTCTTAGAGATCTGTGGTTAAAAATCTATTGCAAAATAAAATGTAGTCTAAAATACATATGATGTGTAAATATAAAAATATCTGGATAAATACTTTTGTCAGGAGACTTGTATCAATTACGGTCCAGTCATCTTGTCGTGTCAAAATTACCCAAAATGGTGAAGCCCTGGGTTTTGAAGAGGGTCGTCTTTCGACTCGAAGTTTTCAGTATTTTTAGCCTTTTAGCAACTAATTCTTGAATTCAACGTATGCATATGATCTAAATACGTAGAAGTCAGCCGTACTGTGCATCAATTCGAAGTTCTTATACCAATTTGAAGCCATCATCTGGAGCGGTTTCTACTCTTGAATCCGCCAAATTGCTGAAATGCCAAAGTCACGTGACCTGTTTTTTAAATTTTGCATTTCAGCCACAAAACAACAACATCGGTCTTTCATAAATTGTTTGTGGATGGGTTTTAGCACCAACTTGGCATTACTGTACTTAAGATCAAGAGAGAATGTCAAACAAAACAATAATCGCTAACTGTTTCATCATTTTTTAGTTGATTTCAAGGGGTCTTTCCCTTTCGTTGGTAATTTTAAAGTATCGATGGCGCTGAAAACAAATTGAACTGGCTCAGCCTATTTGAACGGATTTAGAGTAGATTCATGGATATTTAGATCAATCGATCATGTTTACTGGATTCAGAGATTCCAGGGGATTACGATGGAATTCACGGCTTTTAAGTAAGTGTAGTATTTCTGTTAGAAAACGTAGTTTGAAAACACACAATTTGAAATATGATGGTGTAATTTTTGATTTTTGAAATTCTTTTAGTTCAGGAGGCAATCATCAAATTTCAGTGTCTTTTATTGCACATAGGATTCTAGAAATTTAATCACATATTGATGTGATAATAAATATTGTATATTTGATGTAAATAGCATCATGTCTTGGAGTTCAGCTCGATGTCAGAGCCTCCAAATGACCCATGTCGTTTCAAAATTAGGGACCGTATTTTGGGTCATATTGCGCATGCGCAAAACTATTTATATATATAGCTATTTCTTCTTGCATTTCCAGAACTCCCTGATTCTGCCTCTGATTCATTGTGCCTACTGCCTACCAGTTTTACTTTGTGGGTTTCAATGTCATCCTCCCTCTCTGTGCGGCAATGCCTCAGTCATATTTGTGACTTCCCAAGACTAAATTTGCTTGCTATGTGAGTATAGGTGTAACCTTACATGTGTTATGCAAATTCAAGAAATTAATGCTGAACAGTAACAGTGTTTGTTTGTTTGCGACAAAGTCAAGGTAGTTCCATATCAAAAAGTTTGGAATATTTCTGGACCGAGTGTTGAGCGAACATTAATTAATTATATTATGGTCACATAAGGTCTCGGGGTAGTTAGACTATGATCAGAAATACACCAAACAGGAAATGAAAAACCATGTGGATTTTAGAGTTTTTTGAAGTAAAATAACAGAGTTCTGCTTTGATCTTCAGTCTACTACTCCCATATAACATTTACATGGCCAAGATCACAATGGTCATTGTCAAAATGACCTTTACCATGCCGAAATAACTTTTCCAGCTCTCTGAAAATCTGACGGAAAAAAGTTAAAAGTTAGCATTTCCGAAAGGTCAATGAACACAATATTTTGAATTTTCTGTTCAGTGACCTTTCCTGACTGGTGGTCAATTTTGACCATGACCATTGTGATCCCGGTCATGTAAATAATATACAGGAGTATGATTGAAAGTTAAAGCAGAACTCTGTTATAAAAATTCTAAAATCCACATGTTTTTTTCATTTCCTGTTTGGTGGAAATTTCTGATAACTTCCCGAGACCTTAACTCAGGCAAGATTTCTATTGGTTGAGGAAATTCTGTAAATACGAAATGCAGAAGGCAACGGGAGATTTTCACAGGTTGTTATCACCCAAATCGCCTGTTGTTTTTAGGGTATTTTCATCTTTTCCATTGTTAAATTCATGATTTTTCCATTAATTTTGCCTGTTGTTTTCATTTATAATTTTTTCAGAATACCATTTTTATCTACTCAGTGATATTGATATCACTGGGTTGTTATCACCCAAATCGCCTGTTGTTTTTAGGGACTTTTCAACTTTTCCATTGTTAAATTCATGATTTTTCCATTAGTTTTGCCTGTTGTTTTCATTTATAATTTTTTCAGAATATCATTTTTATCTACTCAGTGATATTGATATCTGGTTCGCTTCGCTCTCTCATGTAGATCACCTCGTAGATAAAAATGATATTCTTCAAAATCAAAGAATATCCTGAATAACATGATTTACAAAATAATAAAAATATATAACTTTTTCAGGAAATGCCTTGTTGCAAAAGTAGAATAGGGGACCAACAACAATGCCTTGACCAGTTGACTCAACCTAAAAGAGAAATTATGATCAAAATGAAAGCCTCTCATGGAGAACACTAGGTAAACTATTTGTTTTCATGTAACTAAATGAAGTTGGTATATCATCTAAAATTTTAAACAGACTGTTTGATATTGATAAACCTTCAATTTCATCTTTTTAAAGGCCCCATATGAAGTTTAAAACACTTTGCCTTATTTTGTAGTCTCACCAAAAGTTGTCAAAATGAGATATATGAAACTTTTGGTTTTGATTTCAAAAAGTGTTTCTTGAAGTTCAGGTTTTTCAAAAATTGTGAATTTATTTAAAACTAAATTTTAGATCTTAACTTTTATCTTGATCATTTACACCAATGCATAGAATTCATCCTCATGTCCACGTTTCATTTGTCAGAAAATTAAGAAAAATTGACAAATAAGCAAGAAAAGAACTATAAATGCATGAAAATGTTTCAGAGAAAATGCATTTTAAAATTATATTTCTTGTAGAAACCAATGCTACAGAAATATTTAAAACATAATATTTGCTTCTTTTCCTAGTACAGTAAGGAAATCAACATTAGATTATTTTGAAAGTTTAAGGAGACTTTACCATGGCCCCTCTTGACCTTTTTGCAATATC